CCAGACCTATCAGATCCGGACTTTTTGAACCAATCACAAGCTGAAATAAAATCACACAAGATTTAAGCAGGAAAAATTATGTCTCCCGCAATTTCTTCAGGGCTCTGCCTCTCCGCTAAGGGGAACAGCCCTCGTGATCTGTTCATGTAAATTCAAGACGCTTGTCTAATCTACTGTCTGAGGCCGCTCACTCTGGTAATGTCGTACCGTCAAAATATCCATTATATTCTCCTGAATTGTCAAACGCGCATTTTTACGTGTCTCTCCTATTGCGCGCTACAAACTGATATGCCGCTTCTCCCCTTTTTGCGGCTTCGATGATACAAGTTAGTAGGACCTCGGCGTAAGAAGGATCCCAATCAGCCAGCGTCTTCCAACGACCGCCTCGTTGCATCTGCATCTACTTAACTAAAATGCGACTGCCACAGGGCCGACCTTCAAATCAATATCACTGATCCATGATGACCCTCCATAGCATCCTACTAATCGGCGTCTCTACGTTTGCTACATAACTCCAGCAATACTGCCTTGGATTGTATTTGCTCCAGCCACCTCCTCCCCCTCAATGCTGATCAAACACTTTCATCACATGCAGGTCTAAAACTAATTTATTTTTTACACCATTCGAATTTTCACTGGGTATCACCTGTAAGCATGGAGTCGGCTTTTAACAAGCCCTTTATCATTAAGCTAAAGTCTTGCCATGACAGAGTAAGTACATGAAACACCTTAAAAATCAATTCTAAACATAAATTTAACCTAATTTACCTTTTAAAAACAAGTATTAATGCATGTCTAACTTTTCAATAAATGAGGAAAAGTATATACTAAAAACTATGTTGTTGCAAATTTGAGATACACTGCCAAAAGAGAGGTCAAGTGATGACTGCCTAATATGATTATAATTTTGTCTAATTAATCAAATAAAGAGTTTTATAATATGATATAAAAAATCTCACTTAGGACTTACTCGCTTTTGGCGGCCAACAAAATTCTTCAGAACCAGCTCTAACAAAGACTTCACGTATGTCAGCATGAAATAGGTTAGAGAATTCTGAAACCCGAAAAAATAAGATATCAATTTATAGGGACCCACTATAAATAAAGTAGGATAATACTCAACAAAGTTAAGGCAAAAATTAAATCTAAACAATAGATTTGCCGAGTTAATCACATTACAACCGCATAAGGCCTGGCTAGCTGGGAGCTGAGGGAGCTATACTCAACTGCCAAGATGCAACATAGTACCTACCAATTTTATATCTTCCATTGCCTTCGTCAGCCAGGTAGTTGCCCTTGCCCTCTGGTCGAAGCCCTGACACTTGAACTCCTTGAGCACAACCAAGTGCTGAGCCAGTGCTGCTTCGATTGGCTCCGGGTGGATATAGTTTGCGGATCCGCTAGTCGCATCGCTTGATTCGAGCCCTCTACTCTCGACAGAAGGAACCTTGGTTTCGCCACTGACCGAAGTTGGAGTGTTAACATTAGTAATGAGAGGACGACTGTCGCGACTGAATTGAGATGGCAAAAAGTCGTGTGCCAGTTGCCAGAGCAGACGGAGACAGAGGTCAACTGATGTTGTCGCTCTAGTAGTAACTCCTATCAAGCGTATCAAGTTAAGAAGACGAGCGCGCGAGTGACGTACGTTCGATGGCTCGTTTACCAGTACCATAGAGGCGACCAGGCAGCCTGATGAAGTTAATCGTGAGGACGTAGCTGAAGGCTTGGAGATGGGAGAATTTTCATCAGTATTGGAACTACAGACCTGACCAGAGACTGCCTGAGATGATTTCAATTTTTTCGCCTGATGGCTACAGTACTGTTGATGGTGATGGTGACTGTAGGAATGACGAGGGCCTCCGGATGCATCTGCATCAGCCTGATTACGCCGCATTTGGCGTAAAGCCTGCCGATAGGCACTGCAGTTGAGGCTTTGCCAACTCTGTCAGTGGTGAATGGGTGATAGAAATAAAGTAAATGAGGAAGATGCTTCATCCATAGGAAGAAGTGAGCTTGAATTTGATAAGCAAATAAATATGCATTCCTTCGGTTATCATAAGAGTTAGGAATAATAAACAAAAATTAAAGTTCGACGTGTGGATAATGGCAGAAAAAGAGTAAAATAATTGGAATAAAATCGAACTCTTACTATCCCAGATTTGGCAAGTTCATCAGCATTCAGGAAGTTTATAATTCGCACAACACCGAAATATAATAAGTTGAATTAATATCTATTGATAACAAGAATATTATCAAAGATCTAACGCAAAAGTAGGTCTAGTTCATTTAAAATGTTCTAAGGAAGTGAATATAATAATTAGTTTAGGGATGGGACAAGAAAAAAAAATTGTTACGAGAAAATAGATACGGTATGTACTCGTTTAACTAGAACCAGCAGATATTCAAGCTGAGCTTGACTGAAACGTGAGGCAGCTACTTCAGAGAATAAATCGAAAATATTAGCAACTGCGGCTGGAGCAGCTTGATCCTGCCGACTCCAAAGAAGGTCAATATGCTCTTTGCTCATACAGCGGCCCAAAAGACTGAAGAACTGGCGTAAAGCAGCCATATGGGAAGAATTATCTAGTTTATCTGCAATTTAAAAAATTTGAACATTAAGGAATGAATTATAGTGAAATTATTTCTGCTTCCGCGAAAAATATATAGAGAAAGTTTGGGTAGATATGAATACCAAGATGGTGTGACATTTTTGTGTTCGCAGCCTCTTTTAGCTTTTTAGTGTTCGTTTGACCTCATTTTTGCAACTTGGTCGGAGCATCAGGAAGACGTAGTGTAACTCACCTAATCATGCGTCCTCTCATAGTATTAGTAATTTCCAACATCGGACCAATACAAGTTGTTTGACCTTGTTATCGCAACTTGGTCATATTGTTAGACTTAGAGGAACGCACCTGGTTCAGAGTCTATTGTATGCATCATCATTTCCAAAGTAGGACCGTGGACGTAGTACATTCACAGACGTCTTGCCGGCTGCGTCAATGAGTCTCGCCATTCTTAGCACTACACAACAACTCGTCAAAGAGACAAGTGAAGCCGATCCTTTGACCAAACGTTTGCTTAACAGTTGTGGTATCTCCCCTTCTGCCTTGGGTCATTCACATTTCCTATATCCTCCTATCACGCCTTTACTGCTACACTTTTTAATGTGCTTATTTCGATGTAGTGTAATGTGCTCCTTCGAGCGACATTCATGAAAACCCTTCACACTCCACGCTGGCGTTCTCAC